AGAAACGCCCAGGCGGTCAGATGATGAGGACCAGTTGCCTCTCTGGGAAACACAATTTGTGTCTTGCAGTTGTTGCAAACTCCAGCCTGACAGGGAGGAAGATGGGACACAGGCAGGGAAGCCACAACCAGGAAAATGGAGATTTCTCCCGTGTTTCTGGTTCTCTGGTTCTGTACTGCAGCTGGCCTTGTCCAATTCTTGGCTTTGGGAAGGCCAAGCCGCTGCTTGTGTACAAGGAAGGGATGAAGGGGGAAAAAAAGCTGCTTCACAGTGGGGGGAAAGCTGAAACTAGTGGATGTTCCAGAAATTTTACCTCACAACGGAGGCTCCTTGGAGGACAAACGAAGAGGGAAGAAACTGAAGACTTTGTCTTCGAAACTGCCCTTGTCCTATGCCTAGACTTTTGCCTTGTTGACTTGCTGGGTAATCTATGGGCTGTTGTTGGTGGGACTGAGGGTGGAGCTTTACTGGCCGCTGGGGGGCCATTTGTTGAACCATTCCCAAGAGAAATAAAGAACTGTCTAGAGCAGGCATGTCAAACTCGCAATGTCACGTGACGTCGCGCAATGTATCAGGATGGTTTTGCCATTGCCGGCAATGGGGTATTCCCATTCTGCGTGACGCATCCGGCCCGTGGGCCGGCAGTTTGACACCCCTGGTCTAGAGGCTTGCCTAACCATTACCACCTGGGTCATAACAATAATAGTAATAATAATGATTATTATAATAATAAAGTTGGAAGGGACGTTGCAGGTGTTCTGGTCCAACCCCTGCTCAGGTAAGAAACATTCAGAGAAACGGTTGTCTTAAAAACTTCCAGTGTTGGAGCAGTCACAACTTTTGGAGGCAGGTTGTTCCACTGATTAATTGTTCTTTCAGGAAATTTCTCCTTAATTCTAGATTGCTTCTCTTTGATTAGTTTCCATCCATAGAATTTAAGGTAACCAGTATGTCTCTAGAGCATGAATAAAAAGAAAAGTACAATGGTTTTCTAATTTTGTATGACTGCCACTCTGATTTCTATTTCTCTAATGAAAAATTTGGACAATAGCCGACAGAAAACTGGTATTGGTGCATTTCCTCCAGTATGACAAAGAATCATCTAGGGGTACTATTTGAATAAACTGCTTCAACCCAGCAGGAGCCTCTGAAACTCTGAACTTTGTCCCACACTCAAATCCTTCCCCCCAAAATTGCCTATTAGCAATTCTTAGGGCTTTTATTATTGTACAGTAAGCAGATGCAAAGAAAGCATTTCCCCCCCACAAACACTTTTATTAGACACACTTAAATCCTCACTCCTTACTTGTAAAGTAATAGTAACAACACCTTATTTTACTCTCTTCCTATTACCACGGCTTTGCAACTATGTCTATCTTACTTGATCTATATATTTTTCTTTTTCTTTTTTTGTATATGAAAACCTTTGCACTCCTCTGTAGATTTGGCAAAGTACTTNAAGCATCTTCAGTTCTGATGCTTCTTCAGAACGAAAGATGCTTCTTGGAGAAGAAGCAAAACGTCTTCAAGAAAACACAAAATCCAATTGCCTTTAGGAAAAGTACCTTTGGGACAACCATGACCTGGATGTCTGAGAATCTCCATAGGCATTTCTCAGGAGATTTTCCTCTCCCCTTCCCATGAATAATTTTTAGATTTTTATTATTTTTTTATCGCACACTCCAGAGGAAGTTCCCATTCTCATTTCTGCTATAGAGGAAGAATGATTTAAAAGGTTTTGTGTTGAACCGATGGATCAGGAGCTGCACCTTCTTGGAGAAGCAACTCCTATTAAACGTCTGCCTGATCACATTCCTCTAGATCAATCATTTTCCAGCTCAATACTGGGATACATTCTCAGCTGAGCCCCTTGTCCACAATGAATACACTGAGGTGGGGATTTTAAATCCAGTAGCATTAAGTATAAATTAGAGCAGTGGTTCTCAACCTTTTTAATGCCGTGACCCCCAACCAGTCGTAAGTTGAGGACTAAACCGGTTGTAAGTTGAGGACTAAACCGGTCGTAAGTCGAGGACTTTCCCTGCCCGGGAGCACCGCGCATGCGTGGTTCCGCCCCCTGCGACGGCTGAGGCGTAGCTGGCAAGCGGCAGAGACGGAGCAGGCCGACCACCAGCTGGCCCAGCCCAAGGGAGGTAAGGCACCCGCCGGAAAAGGGGAAAAAAATGGCGGACAGCCTTGCTTGGCGACCCCCGTGAAATGGTCAATCGACCCCAAATGGGGTCGCGACCCATAGGTTGAGAACCGCTGAATTAGAGGCTCTGATGTTACACTGTCACCAGATGTTTCCTTTTTGAACATTTTTGTAATTTAGCACAATATCCCAAGACATTTTCCATTTCAACATCTTGCAATTCATTATAAAATTTCTATGGACAGCCATACAAAGCTTAACTGGAAAACATTTGCCAATTAAACTGTTCTAGTCATATCTTCTTTAGCATCACACTTATTTTGGTAATTCATATTTAGCTATAATTTTTACAAGTCTTTCCTGATTTATGCCTTTTCCATAGTATGCCTGGAATGACATTTTGCTCGCTAGGCCCTATGTTTGCCCTCAAAAATTAAACTATTATAGAGCTTTTATTGGGGATTTGGGCTTTATTATGAGGGTGAAGGTTTGTTTTCCAAGCTTGTGGGTTGGTGTCCAAACATTTTGTTAGGTAACATCTTCAGCAGCGTTCAGCGAATGTCTATGTCAGTGCTCTTCTATTTATAAGGGCTTCAGATGTGGGTGTGTCAAGTGAGGGTCTTGTGATGAGTCATCAGAGAGAGGCTTGTGATGGGCTGGTTACTTCAGGTCAGAATCCTTGGATGGATCCAGATGTATTGGCCTTCCCTGGATCCTTCCCTGGATCCAGATGTATTGGCCAACTATCGCCTTCCCTGGATCCAGATGTATTGGCCAACTATCGCCCAGTCTCCAACCTTCGCTTTGTGGCGAAGGTTGTTGAGAGTGTGGTTGCACAGCAATTCCCTAGGCACCTGGAGGAAACAGATTATCTGGACCCCCTCCAGTCGGGCTTCAGGCCGGGGTACAGCA